GACAAAATATCGTGAAAAAAATGTTCATAAAACGGTTTTCAATTTGGGTTTTTGTCATTTTTCAGCGCCCATATGATGAGAAATTTCATCCTTTCATCCATCCATCCATCCACTCATTCATTCATCCATCCAACAAAAACAAGCAACAACACTTAAGCAAAATATAACAATTTGAAATGATTTTTATTAACATTATCCCATTTTGAGCAAATATAGAAACATCATCACGACTATATATATATATATATATATATATATATATATATATATATATATATATATATATGAATATATTATATACATATTAGTGAAAGACAAATTGAAATAAATAATAATAGAATTAAATGCTGGAACTAAGAAACAATTAATTATACAGCTAACATTTAAAATTATTAATATTATGAAACTATATATATTTATATATATATAATTTATATAATATATATATTATGTATATATATTATATATTTACATACATTTTATTTATTTATAATCATGAAATGCTTTTAGATATAGAGAGTGACCATAAAAACCGATGATTTAAAAGTTATACAAATATACATACATACATACATATATACATACATACACACATACATACATACATACATACATACATATATACAAACGTACGTACACACAAATGTACATGCTTGCATACGTAAATATACTACATTTATAGTGAGATAAAAAACGAATTATTATTATTATTATTTTGATATAATTATAATTATTATTATTAATTATTGTAAAAATGATCGTCATATTAATTTATTGCAAGTCGGCAAAACTTCTTTGATTCTATCTTCTTGTTTCCAAAATACCACCATCTTAATTTTTTTCATCATTTTCATCATCATCATCAGTAATAACAGCAAGATCATCATCATCACAATCATTATCATCATCATCATCATTATCACTATCTTCGTCTTCTTCTTCCCCTTCACTATCATCATCATCTTCTTCTTCTCCATCTTCTTCCCCTTCACTATCATCATCATCTTCTTCTCCATCTTCTTCTTCTTCACCATCATCATCAAGATCACTGCTTTCTTTCATTCATATTATTCCTCAGCATGAGCGTTCCTTCGATCCAGCAGTTGGGCCGATCCAGCATGGCCTGCCACACCAAACACTCCTCTTCGTTTGAATCCATCCAAGTCACCGTCTGTCCTTGACATTTACCTTGGCGTGGCGTTTGTTTGTTTGTTTACTTTTTGTTCGTATGTTTGTTTGTTTGTATGTTTGTTTGTTTGTATGTTTGTTTACTTGTTTGTTGTTATTATTATATATTATTGTAGCAACGCCCTTTGTCATTATTTGACACACACCACACACACACCACACACACACATACATACACACAAATAAAGATACACACATACATATACACACACACACACTCATACAAACAAAAATAACCTTTACCTTTATTAAGATTGAGTCTGACCCCGCCCAGAAAATCATTGCTGGTCAGTCTGTCGTGATCCCAGACGGTCAACTCGAGTGACCTCTCTTGTAATTCTTCCCAACTTACATTTTCATAGACAATCGTCTGATTCCAATGGGGGTTACAGCTACGTCTGTGTGTGCGTGCATGCGTGTGCGTGTGCGTGTGTCTGTGTGCGTGTGTGTGTGTGTGTAAATTTAACCTGATGACTGTAGTCTTTCGTTTTGATTCGACGCTCCTGTCTGGTAGCAAATAACTGAGAAGAAATTTTTTTAATTTGAACTTGATCGGTGCTGAATTTCTATTTCACTCCTCACTCGTTCTCTCACTCACTCACTCACTCACTCACTCACTCTCACTCATTCACTCACTCATTCACTCACTCATTCACTCATTCATTCACTCATTCAGCTAATGACTCATTTATCTACTTACTCATTTATCTACTTACTAATTTACTCATTCCCTCATTCATTCATTTGTTCATTCATTCATTCATCTACCATTCATTCACCCAACGAACCGACCGACCATTTACAAAACGGATCCGAGTAACCATTCGACCGAATAGCGGTTAAGTTTCGAGCTTCCTTCACGATGATTTGCAGTTCGCCCTTGTCTTCCGTGTTCCTCTTACGACCGCTTATGTGCTCCGGGCTGACGAACTTCAGACTCAAGTCCAGATCCCCTCTGTACGTTAGTGAAGATAGCGAGTTGTACCCCTGGAGGGTTGGTTGGTTGGTTGGATGGCTGGTTGGTTGGTTGGTTGGTTGGTTGGTTGGTTGGTTGGTTGGTTGGTTGGTTGGTTGGTTGGTTGGTTGGTTGAGGAATTGAATGTATTATTGCTTGACATTAGGTTCTTTTAATGAGTTGGCTGGTTGAATCGGATTTGATCGATCACAACAGTAACAACAACAACAACAGCAGCAACAACACCTAGAATAACAACCTCCACCCCACAAAACCCACCCGAGATTGAAGTTTCCACCAAGCTGGCGCGCCGTTGTTCAGCAGACATTTGTAATCAAGGGGCATGTTAATTTCACC